ATATTACCTCCTCAATTATTACCTGTACAGTATTGTACTTCACAACATATTACCTCCTCAATTATTACCTGTACAGTATTGTACTCCACAACATATTACCTCCTCAATTATTACCTGTACAGTATTGTACTCCACAACATATTACCTCCTCAATTATTACCTGTACAGTATTGTACTCCACAACATATTACCTCCTCAATTATTACCTGTACAGTATTGTACTCCACAACATATTACCTCCTCAATTATTACCTGTACAGTATTGTACTCCACAACATATTACCTCCTCAATTATTACCTGTACAGTATTGTACTCCACAACATATTACCTCCTCAATTATTACCTGTACAGTATTGTACTCCACAACATATTACCTCCTCAATTATTACTTGTACAGTATTGTACTCCACAACATATTACCTCCTCAATTATTACTTGTACAGTATTGTACTCCACAACATATTACCTCCTCAATTATTACCTGTACAGTATTGTACTCCACAACATAATACCTCCTCAATTATTACCTGTACAGTATTGTACTTCACAACATATTACCTCCTCAATTATTACCTGTACAGTATTGTACTCACAACATATTACCTCCTCAATTATTACTTGTACAGTATTGTACTCCACAACATATTACCTCCTCAATTATTACCTGTACAGTATTGTACTTCACAACATATTACCTCCTCAATTATTACCTGTACAGTATTGTACTTCACAACATATTACCTCCTCAATTATTACCTGTACAGTATTGTACTCCACAACATATTACCTCCTCAATTATTACCTGTACAGTATTGTACTCCACAACATATTACCTCCTCAATTATTACCTGTACAGTAGGGGGCAGTGAAATTTTGCTCAAAGCTGCACTCTTCAGGCATTGTTCCTTATACATATCTAAGACTCCATGCCAAATTTGAAGCTGATATGTCGAGGTTTAGTCTGCCGCATTTTCTACTGAAATTTTTAAATTTACCTACAGTACTAGCCAAACAGCCGCTGTGGCGGTGCAATGTTCTGTTCAGTGTTTATCAACTTTTTTTTCATATCTCTTATTTCATTTAAGTTGTCTTGTTGCAGATGAGTATGGTGCTATGTCTATATTGATTATCAGCCTTTACTCATTTCATTATGTCATCATGGTTGAGCCTGGCAATGAATATCTCACACATGTGACTCCCAAGACTGGACACGGAAAGCAGATTGCCAAAACTATTCACGAGTTTCTGGTGGAGAAAAATCTAATCCAGCAGCCCATTGTGTGTGTTGGTTGTGATGGAACCAATGTAAATGTAGGATCAGAAAATGGAGTCATTCATCATCTTGAAATGTTACTTGGTCACCCGCTCCATTATTTCATATGTCAGCTTCACGGAAATGAGCTGCCTTTCCGCGCAGTTTTTTATCACTATGATGGTAAACCAAGTGATCCTGAGCATTGGCGTGGTCCCATTGGAAAGCAGATCAAGGAGTCTTTGTCTGAGCTTCCAGTTGTCGCCTTCCAGCCAGTCAGTTTCCCTGATTTCCCTGTGTTTAATGATGAAGTGGAGAAAGATCTGTCCTGGGATCAGAAATACCTGTATAGGATTTGTAAAGGAGTTATCACAGGTGTTGTTGAAGATGACTTGGCTGCTATTGAGCCAGGTCCTCCCTGTGTGTCAAGGTGGAACACCTTATGGAGTAGAATCCTCAGGCTGTATGTAGCAACATCAAGACCCAGCCATGAGTTGAAAAGAATTGTCATTACAATAATATAGTTCAGTGCTCCAATGTGGTTTTACATCAAGATACACCCTTACGTAACACACGGCTCAAGGAACGTATTCCAGTCCCTGCTATATATGAAACACCTGAATAGTGAGGAGGAGACGATAGTGAAGAAGGCTGTCCAGAGAAATGCATACTTCGCCCACACAGATCAACTTCTTCTTGGTATGTGTGCAGATGAGGACATGACTGTTAGAGAAAAAGCTGTCTCAATGATAAGAAAAATTAGAGAGGAGAATCAGCAAAAGGAAGAATGCACTGGCAGATCTGAAGAGGAGGAGGAAGATTCTGATGCTGCTGTTGACGAGAATTTGTTAAACTATACTGATGAGGAGGGTAAAGATGGAGATGGGAATGAGGATGTGCCTCCTGTAGTCAACATGAGAAAGGTGGTGACTCCGAAACTAAAGTGGCAAGCAAAAAACTATCATTCCATGATTAACTGGAGGAATGAACTCAAGACTGAGCCTCCTTACATTGCTTCTCTGTCAAATCTACAGGTTAATGACATTCTTGAGACACCATTAGTGGTGCCCAAGTGGCCAAACAGCACTCAGGCGGTCGAGAGAGGCATAAAAGTGATGACTGAAGCTTGCACTGAAGTGACGGGATACGAATCGAGAGATGGATATATTAGGCAAAGATTATTGTCTAGGAAAATGATGCCAAGGTTCTGCACAAAAAAGAATTTCAATATGAACTTGTAATGATTTTCTATACGGTGTACCTGTAAAATAACATGTGAATTAAATCGATGTCACCCATGTAAAATTTATCATTATCCTGGAAAACATTAAATGACACCTAATTTTTGGTATGCACTAAAAGTTGACAAAAAGTCGTTCGCGATGTGGCAGGGTAAGTATGCATGAAATGGCATGAAATTTTGCACAGGTGTTTGTTACAGCCATACAAACGATGCCTGAAAAGTGCAGCCTGCAACTCAAATAAAAGTGTTTTTTCCCTGCCCCCTACTGTACAGTATTGTACTTCACAACATATTACCTCCTCAATTTCTGTACATACTGTATGCATTGCAGTATTTAATTCATTTTTTTACTGTTCTTTACAGTTCAGTATACCAATTTGCTAAGGACAGTACAAATCAATAAACAAGCAGGAGAGGTCTACTGTATTTTCACACAAATATGTACAATAAGCAACATAACATTCACAACTTCAGGTGACCAATTTTTCAAATAGAAAACCTGGTAAATGTCAGTCTTCTTCATGATGTACGGTAAAGATATTAACACCCTTGTTTTGAAGGTGCTAAGATGCTATCTTCTGAAGAAAAAAAATTATTCTTACTCATTTTGTTCTTCTAAAAGTTATACCAGGCAGTAGTTTTGTATGTAGACTAATATTATACAGTATATTAATACATTCATTATTATGAAACAACATTCTACTTAACACAGCATTTTCTTCTCACAATGTCATTCACATCCTTTACTATGAACGGAAATTCCTGGAAGTTATTCACACACTCAGGCCATAAGGTGCGTCAACAAGCATTCACTGTCTGTGGTTGAGTTCATTGAATGCTTCACTGATGTTGGTAATGCAGTCCGTAATACTGCATCCATGGCACTACGGATGTGACCAAAAGAGCGCCGTGTATAATATCCCTTGAAGGTGTGTATTACACCCTGATCAAGAGGCTGAATAAGAGCAGTGGTGTTTGGGGGCAGGAACACCACCTCTACACCTGGATGGCTAAACTGTAAACTTTCTGGGTGGCCTGGTGCATTGTATATCAATAATACAGTAACACCTTGAATTCCATCTTCTTGGAAGCAAGGTATTTTTTCACTTCCGGGATGAAGCATTTATGGAACAAGTCCAGTAATGCTTGCACAGTTACCCAATCTTTTTTGTTGGACTGCCAAAAGGTTCTTGTTTTTCTCTTTATAGCCCTAGGGTTTGCTGAGTAGTAAAGCAAGCCAGGCTTGATCATGTGGCCAGCCACATTGCCACAGAAGATGAGCGTCACTCTGTCCTCGGCTGCCTTGAACCCAGTGGCACGCCTCTCCTACTTGTTTATGAACGTTCTACCAGACATTTTCTTCCAATATAAACCAGAATCATCAGCATTAAACACTTGCTCTGGTCTATAGCCTTTCTCTTCTATTATTTTCTTTAACTTGGTGGGAAATGCACCTGTGGCTGTGTGGTCAGCCGATGTGGCCTCCCCAGTCAGCTTCACATTATGGAGCGAGAATCTTTTTTTTTTTTATTCTTGAACCAACCTTTACTGGCACTAGCTCCTTTACCACCTGTTGACTTGTAAAAATGATCATAAAGACTTTTAACCTTTTCACAAATCACCTTGCTGTTGATCGGAACATTTTTGTGGTGCTGGTTCAATGCTTTCTCTGTTTTCACTATGTTCTTGTCATGAACAAGCTGCGCCACTTTAGCACTTGCAGGAGCACTTGCTTGAACAGAATCACGAATTGCTTGTTCATTTTTCTTGATATACCACACTGTGGATTCTTTCACATGAAACAACCGACCAACCGAGGCAGCACTCATCCCCTCCTTTAACTTGTCTAATAATCCAATTTTCTTTGCCAGGTTCATCATTGACTTTTGCCATTTATGTTTCACTCCACAAGCATCATTAGCACTGACACTAGGCAGTCTCTTAGGGGCTATTTTCACAAAGAAACACGAAAGTTTGGCGAGTATGACACAAGATGCTAGGTCACGGGTACTGGGCGAGGGCAAACAGAGCGAGTTGAGACGCCGCAGGCGAGTGGGTTGACTCATTTCGTTGAGGGAGAAGGCTCGCATGCTAGCCACCTGAACCGCCAGGTGCTTACCACAAATTGTAAACCCGCGAATGGGAAGGGCCTACTGTATATATATATATATATATATATATATATATATATATATATATATATATATATATATATATATATATATATATATATATATATATATATATATATATATATATATATATATATATATAAATATATATATATATATACCTTCGTGTATATGTTCTCTGAGTGGCAAGCAATATGCAATAGCCTTTATTGTAAAATGTTTACATAATAATGCTAATATGCTTCATAACTAATGTTCATGCTATTTCAATTATATTTTTCCCTTTCAGATTTTACTCAAAATTAATTTTAAATTAAGAGTGACAGGGTTACAAAAGAGTGTGCAGGATGCAAGGTATATTTCTCTTTCCAGCACGTAGCTGACTTGTCCCTCCCCCAGGGTGACCCTGATGAGGCAGACAACCCCAGCACAGGGATTGGCGCCTTCCGCTTCATGTTGGAGACCAACAAAGGACGCACAATGCTGGAGTTTCAAGAGCTTATGACAGTCTTTCAGCTTCTGCATTGGAATGGGTCACTTAAGGCCATGAGGGAGAGGCAGTGCTCCAGGCAGGAAGTAGTAGCACATTACTCTCATCGTGCACTTGATGATGACATGCGTTCTCAAATGGCTCTTGACTGGATTGCTCGAGAGCAAGAAAACCCGGGGGTAATCTCTAGGGAATTGGGTCAGAGTGAGCGTGAGCTTGAGGCTGCTCGCTTAGCTGGTCGTGAGCTTCGCTTCCCCAAGGAGAAGAAGGACATTATGATGTTGGCGTGCTCACAGCTGTCACCTTCACCCTTAGACCCATAATGTCAGGACAAGGGACAGCCGCCACAGTGATATTAGCACCAAGGTGTAGAGGTTAATGCTTTCATCTCTGCAAAATCAAAGCTAATTTACTTTTTATTGTTGTAAAGATTATGTTTTGTACTGTTTTCTCGTGTGTGCATGTATATAATGTAAATAATCATTCCAAAGAATTTTATTATGTAATTATAATAATATTAAGCTTCTGTGGGGTGTACTGGTGAGCCCCACATTAAAATACGCACCCCTGGGACATCATTATGCTGTTAGGTAGAGCCAGGCACTGGTTACTGAAATATTATGCTGTTGGCCTAACCTATCAATAATATTTTGCTGTGATTAGTGTGCAGACAAAATGGTTAGACTATGTACACCGTTCATCATGCCAAGTTCAATTTCTGTGTACATATGGTAAAAAAGTATCTCCACACCGTGTGGAACAATATGACACCACGGACAATGGATATTGTGATATGTCACTGAGTATAAAAACATATGAACATATAAAAAATAACATTTACTTTGGATATAACAGGAAATATCGCCAACAATCGATATATGACACCTTCATGAAAGCAGGACCACCAAATTGGGGCAGGACCAATGAACTTATCGAAATATCCATCGTCCTTGGTGTCACATTGTTTCACACAGTGTGGATCGATACATTTTTACCAAGTGTACTTTAGATTAATGTCTGCATTGTTCTGGATGTTCAGTAGGTGTTGAAATCTTATAACCATTACATCATATAGCAAATTTGATACGATCTATTTTCATGCCCCTCAGCACTATATCTCACACCAGCGTAAATGTGCTACATAAAGAATGAATTTGTTTGGTTAGTACTGAGCAGGGTAAGTAAGACACCTACCTACCTTGGGTTACTGCTCAATACTGCACAGTTCTCTCATGCTGTCAGTGGTCAGGCTCTATCCTGTACAACTTTAAGTTGTATAGATGTTGTGGAAGCAGCAGGAACAGCTGCTGGTATAGAGCTATTGGCAAGAGCAACACTGCAAAATCAGATAGACCATCAACCAGTAACCACAAGCCAGTGCCTCCAGTCTCTGCTTTAAGCATCAGGGTCTAGCAAACTGTACAAGATCTCATTTGCTGAACGTATTAGGATACTAATGCGTCGTGTGCTGACTTTTGTTTTTTTGCTTCTTTAAGTTGAAATTGTAAAATCTCTCTGACTACGACACAGTTGGCTTTTTACGTACAGATGCTTACATGAATTGATTTTCCCTTTGCATTAATAAGCTCGGAGTTTATGCTGTTGCCAGTGTCATGGTGTTGACGGTGTTTAGCTTAACACTTACAGTAGTTCTTTACTTAATATTTCTTGTTCTAAAACAAGAATGTTAATGAAGGTAATTGAATTACCAAAACCTCTTAATTGATTAATTTGCAAAATACCAACATTTTTCTTCTAATGTTAATGCTTAATAAAACAAAATGGCTAGAGAATAATTATGAGATAACAGTTATGTTTTTCTCTTTTACTTTTCATCCATTGAAGAAGTTCGCTCCAACAGTACGTAACAACCACTGTTTTCGCAGTTCGTGTAGAGACCTACACTTATTTTGTGATGCTACTTGTGTGTAAATTGATAATGTCCTCTCCTTAAGTGATATGAGAGGCAAGTGGCACATTGTAAATTCAAAGTTTTCCCCATAGTTTGTGATGTCTTGTACGTAACGTAATGTAAGTTCTCCCACTGCTTTACATTCCCATGATTTTTTATGTAAATGTAGTGTGAACTGACTTTTTTCCTTGTTAATTTTGTTAATCTAGGACTTAGCAAGTTTGAGAGTGCAATGCACTTGTGACTACAGAGTCTGTGCAATATGAATGAAGTGTTTGTGCAATTGATGTTTGTTGAGCATACTGGCCTGGAAGGTTGAGAAATACCCATGGAATTTTCCTGCAATAATATTAATAAACTGGATTTTTATAATCATGTACACTGTGCTCATAGCAATTCCAGTTTATTCTTGATGTGAACAAGTTTCAGTGCCAAATTAACTGTGCCAATCTCAGTGCCAATTCCTGGATTTTCATTTTAATGGTCATGATTAATTCACTACATGGTTTTTTCCAGTGCCAAAAGTAAGATAATGAAAGGAAAATTATAAGCAAAATTCCAGGCTGGTGGTGGACCCTAAGACAATCTTTCTGTAGACATTCTGCTTTCACCCATTGGGCTTATAGAGATTAATGGAACAGGATCTGGAAAATTTTTACTTTTATGAAAACTTGCTTATGGCCCAATTTATATGAAAAAAGTGAAGGAATTATATTGTTTTCAATGCTTTGTGAAGTGAAGAATTCACATATAGTGAGAAAGAGAGGAGAAATGGACGTGAAGACTTACAGATCCCTGTGGCCGAATAGCCTCTTAAGCACATTTATTGTCAATTAGGAAAATTCTGCTTAATGAGATGTCTAGGATATAAGAATAAATACGTAAATCTAAACTGGCAAATATATGACTAGCTTTAAAAGCGTATATGTTTACTGTAGCAAAGAGTGCCTACCATAGTCTGTCTCCAGCAACAGCAGGCCCCAGAGTTCCGTAAACCTTCCCGGACTGTCTCCTCCTCCGTTGGCACTGTTAACCCTTTCCCCTTGAGGCAAACTGGTGACCATTATTAACTTTGGTAGTGTGAGAACATGTTAATTATTAAGGATTTAAATAAATGATTTTTTAATTATCAATGCTAGTCTGATAATGTAATTTGTCATTATTTATGGATATTATGATGATAATATAGATATACTAAAGTTTATAAACTACTAAGGACATATAAGCAAGAAATCTCATATGCAATTCAAAAATTTTTATTCACATTATTTTCTGTGTGTTTGAAACCCATTTCTGAAGCTTTATTTTATCAGATAAGAAAACAATATTTTCTAATAATACAAACTTTATAATATCTGGAGAGGCTCTGAAATTGTAGTGTTTTTCCTTAATATACAATTGTCATTATTGTTTTCATTAGAGACTCTCATGTACCTTCAGTGGTGAATTGACAATTGATATCAGATGTCCATAGTAATATGATGTTACACCCAAACCCCATTCTTGATCTTAAATGGTGATGCGTGTTTATCACTCTCCATGATAACCATAAACCTGAATTATCTGCTCTACAATGGGTAGAAGCTGTTTGTATGCTCTAGGTGTAAGGTAAATGATTTATAAATCTTCATACACTAGTACCATTCTTGACCCTCATAAACTTCTCAAGCATTACTTGGGAATGGTGATCTTGGGTCATTTTCAGTGTGTTTAACTATGGCTTGTACATCTGCTTTCACATGCTTGTGATGCAGTCGTGCAGTCATGTGTGTTTCCATTATTTTTGTCTTATGTAGATGAATACAGTAACACCCCAGTAAGACATGACAGTACACAAATCTCTGATGCACAGTATATAAATCGAGGCCATATTTTAGGAAAATACTGTGTGGTGGTCGTGTTTAAATGCATGGTTAAAAAATGGCCTTAAACGAGCACATTTTTTTTTTAATGATAGAATGATGTCGACGAGTGAGCTACAAGAAGGTTAAAGGCTCGCACCCAATGATAGTGTGAGTGTGTTATTTCTTATGGTATTGGTAGATGAACACAGCCTGAAGACTGCAATACACATTACATAGATGTGCAAGGTGCAACCTCCTACATGTTTTTTGTCTGTCCTTTCATAATTCTTCAACAGGTAGTAAGAACTATAGCCATCATTCTCCTCAACTTCCCTGACCAAGGAGCATAACAAAGACTTCATTTTGAATTTAAATCAAAGAATCTGGACCAGCAGTACAAGGGAGACTCATCCACCCAGTTAGTGTGGAAGTATGACTTAAGTGAATCCACCAGAACCATAAATATGTCAGAGAAGTTAGAAGGTACGTGTATCGCTTAGTTCATTCGCAACTTAATGCCTAGATCAGGCGACTCGTGCCCCTACCCACCTAGTCTGCAACTAGGAAACCAATTCAACCTTCTACATTAATGGTTATGACTACTGATTAGTTTTATGTCTGCATTGAAACTATTGTATATCCCATAAATATTGATAATTGGAACCTTTACTTAAGGTCAGTGGCCAGCCCTTTACAGCTGTGCACACTTTGCCTGTTACAGCTGTGCACACTTTGCCTGTTACAGCTGTGCACACCTTGACTGTTACAGCTGTGCACACCTTGACTGTTACAGCTGTGCACACTTTGCCTGTTACAGCTGTGCACACCTTACCTTTTGCTAATAACCTATTTTGACCTTAGTCAACATCTTGTTAGAGGATACCAACATCACCATTGGAGGACCTTTGATTTCACAGTGAGTAACTCAGCCTGTCATATAACATATACTGTTGTAAGTGAAGATCCTGGTGTGATCCAAAATACAAGATCTTCTATTCTTGATGAAGGTTGGAGAACACACTAAGTTTCAACCTCAAGAGTAAATTGACCAGAACATAATATTCTCTTCGAGAAATTCCCGTGTGTTTGAATACGGGAAAACCCCTCAGGGAGTCTGTAGGCTGAATGGAGTTGATCAGTGAGAGCAATTTCTGATTCAAGACCCAGTTACTTCTAAGCCTTGAAGTGCAACCCTCTAGTTGGTGTTATTACCATCTGGGGAATACCATGTGGGCTGACTCTAAGGTCCGATAAACCTGGAAAAGCATTCCAGAAGATTTTGTTCGGGAGATATGTCCTGTTTATTTCAAAATTGCTCACACTGGGGCATCTGCCAGCTCCAGGTATGTACACTCGTACTTACACTCGTTGTGCCCTCTGAGATGTTTATACACTTAAATTAGATCACCCCTTGCCCGTCGGTAGTATAAATTAGGCAGTTGCAGGCGTTCTAATCTCCCTGGGTAACTGAGGTGCCGTAGGGCTTCTTACATTTGGTCCCCTTAATTGTTCCTTTGTACTGAATGCTGATCATGTGAAATTGTTGGGAGACCTACATATCCATTCTTCAGCTACAATTGTTGTTTTTCTTTTAAGGCTATAGCTGAAGCTCATTAAGAGGAGCTCGGTCTTCCTGAGAAACTTTTCTCTGACCATTTTAGTATTCTCAGATCCATTCTCAAACTCTGGTCAAAGGTATTTACTGTAGATAGGTTGGAGAACTTTCTCCTAAGGCAGCTAGTAGTGGTTCAGGAAAAGAGTTTGTTTGATAGTTTTATGACTGAGTGTCAAGATATTCTTCCCTCTTTAATGAATTATTTTGAAAGATATATGGAAAGGGTAAAGTACCCAATGGGAATGGTTTACCACAGAGAGCATAGAATCAGCCCCAGGGCAGAAATGATTGTAGATCAATAGGAAAAATTTTCAGCTTCTTAATAATGTATTTCTAAATTAGAATTATCAGAGGCAGAAGATATCTACCAACAGCTTAGCAGCTTAAAAGAGTGCTTTAACTAGACCATTAAATGAGGCTTTTGCAATTGTCCTCTCTGTTTTTGAAGGCTTTTTATAGAACTCTTTTTTCAAAAGATCCATGAAGTCATTTTACTTTAATTACCCTTTAAACTGGTTGTTATGCTTCTGGAATTTATGGTGAATTTTATTTGGGGGAATATGAACTGGCCTCGATGAAGTCATATTCTTCTCAGCTCTTGCTGCTGGGAGAAATGCCTCAGAAGTTCATGATCTGAGAAAATACTCCAGTTTTGCCTCCCTTTCTCGATTAGGAAAACTTTAAGCTGGTGTTGGATCTTCCTGTATTTATGGTCATGGTAATTGGTTCTTATCTTATGATTACAGTACAGAACACTTCAGTCAGCAATCATTGCATCTTAAATGACTCTCTTGAGAAGGATATCCTTACCATCTATCCTGCAATGAGGGGATACATGACCACCTTAGTCCTGAACCAATTTATGTCACTGTCCTCTTTTTATCTAGCTGGCTAAAGATAAACAAAGAATCTGGTCTTGGCATTTGGTCACAAATGTAGAATTGGTACAGTACTGAAATCCCATTTTTAACTGCTTCCGAACCAGGCAACTTGATTACCTTTGCTTCTCCCAATAGATATCGATAAAGTGAACTAGATAAGAGGTATGAAACCTTGTACAACAGTTTATGACTGACCCTAAAGTGACAGTTGCAGGTAGCATGGTTATTATGACATCATTACTTAATCTTTGCCAAATATCCTGTTTTTAAGAAATCTGGTTGGAATATCGATATGCTATAATTAATAGATTAGTCCCGGGCACTAATTTCGAGGGTTGACCTTGTTGTCACCCCTCAGACTTGGTGGGTGATTACATAAGTCGCTGGGTCCAGGGTCATTCATAAAATGGGATTTCAGAATTAAGCCTCCAATATTTTTTATTTTGTTTTGCCTAAATTGTGACGTGTACATCAATGCAAAATAAATGTTATAAAGGCTGAACCATTATTTTGACATGTTGATTAAGTTATAAAATGCTTAAAAATAATAAAACACAGAACACATTACTAGGGTTTTACTGTACGAACATAGTTTATTTTATAATAATCTAAGTTATAGGGAAAGTCAGACTTACAAAAGCTAAGAACTGAAATAGTTGCACCTATGGGAGTAACTTATTACTGTGTAGGATGGCTTTTCTACTGTCTTAGTGCTACTGACGAATTTCATTTAACATTTCTTCACATTATAAATTTTTTTTACGTGGATCATCAGCAAAACATTGAGATGATTTCACTTCAGTAATAAATATGTATACTGTATTACAGTTAAATTTTTAATCTTGTTATGTTACACTGGCAAATTGTATCTGAAGAAATGAAATATTGTTTAAATCACTAATGGACAGTGTATGTCATTTATGTTTAATATTTTATGTATATTGTGTGACACACACACACACACACACACACACACACACACACACACACACACACACACACACACACACACACTTTCTCTTATAAGTCACCAGTTTGCCTTGAAGTACAGTGTATTGTTAATTCCACACTACATGCCCCTGGCTACCCCTATGTATAGATGTAACTTACTGGATTGCATATTTTAATCCTATCTTGGTTTTGGGCTAGAATGAAGGTATCATTATACCTGAGGATTATTCCCTATTTTTTGTATAAGCTTTACTGTAACTGATCATATAGCAGGTGTTTGAATGACAGATCCTGAGAGTATTGGGTCTACCTGGCACATGGACTGCTGCAAGAGGCAAATGGAAGCTTCAAAGTTTACATATTCTCAGAGTGGTAATGAAAATACTGTACCTAAGTTATACAACCTACTTAGTGTGCATTGAAATTCAATTAATGGAATTGTCTGAATTTTATAAATGAGTAATTTTTTATTGTCACTGTCTTGTGTTTCCTATGTAGATTCTCCCGATCTTTTCAGATTTTTCTTGTGTCAGAAGAGAATTCATTGTCAGATTTAATTTTATTGTCACAATTGGGTGATTTGACTGCCACTTTATGTATTAATGTTGAGCCTCAACTAATTATTTATGCACAGCCTTTATAATTTTAAGTCGAGGAAAATGTCGATTGTGTCCTAATCTGCACATCATTCCCGAAGGTAACATTGGGTTAGTTTTGGAGGAATATTCTTATACCTTTGTATTATTATATCATCCTTATCTTTTCCTATGCCCCTGACTCACCAACAGGTTCCAGTGGCCCAATAGAAACATCTAAGATTTTGCTCATGAGTTAGGATATCATTTCACTTTCTTTCACCAAGGAATAAAATTTTAATAAAAGAATGAGAGTATAAGGATCATTTCAGCAAATATTCTTGATGAGGAAAAAGAAGCAGGATTAAATTTAAAAAGAAAAGTAAGCACAGACATAAATGATAACAGAAGTGGATAAAGAAATGAATGTTTGAAAATCTGTAACAAACATTTAAAACAGTGCTCTCATGTTAAGGCAGCAGACACCCATAACAGTGCTCTCATGTTAAGGCAGCAGACACCCATAACAGTGCTCTCATGTTAAGGCAGCAGACATCCATAACAGTGCTCTCATGTTAAGGCAGCAGACACCCATAACAGTGCTCTCATGTTAAGGCAGCAGACATCCATAACAGTGCTCTCATGTTAAGGCAGCAGACATCCATAACAGTGCTCTCATGTTAAGGCAGCAGACATCCATAACAGTGCTCTCATGTTAAGGCAGCAGACATCCATAACAGTGCTCTCATGTTAAGGCAGCAGACACCCATAACAGTGCTCTCATGTTAAGGCAGCAGACATCCATAACAGTGCTCTCATGTTAAGGCAGCAGACATCCATAACAGTGCTCTCACATAGGTAGTGACAAGAACTATCAGTGGGAGACTTAGCAATCCCTTACTTTTCTTATGGCAATGCTACTACGGACAAGTAAAGCTTAAAATTAACAAAGTAGAATATTTCGAAAATTTTAGTTCAAATAATATTTCAGTATGGCAAAGTTTCACAATAATTTAATGTGCTAGCTAACAAAATTTTTTATCAGCCATGCTCCCATTGACAGTAAGAAAGCAGCTAATCAAAATACTGTACGTACTGTAAAACTATATCAGTAGCTTGTCATTATTGCTAGGTAAGTATCCAGAATTTGGATGATTCTGCATGAAAGATATTGTGTTTTGATATTCATAATTAGTGTTGTCATATTTGATGTATTTAGATGTGTTTAGAAAGGATCTACAGGAAAGGATTGTTTTAGTATCCAGTTTACAATAATAATGGCTGCCTTACAATTACCCATGAAGATAGAAAAAAGACAATGTATGATTTCTGAAACAAGGTTTTATAATATTATGTATCTTATTGTTACTAGAATTAAATAATCACCATATGAGGTGCCGAGTGCGACAAGGGGCCAAGCGCCAACAATCACAATTGAGAAACATGCTCTTAAAGTTTGAAAAATTCAAAATGACATAACTCTTGAACCAATGAAGATAATGAGTTCATTCAAGTGGCAATGTGTCGAGCTCTTAAAGCTGGTTTCACAGATACTGAAGTCATATTAATTGAAAAGATTATTTATAGTAAAAATTACACTGTTTTTTATAGGTAGTGTTTGTAGTTTCATTAATATACATTGTTGGGCTATAATTTTCATTACATTGAAGCAATAATGTATTAAGACAACACCAGAAAATCAAAGGTCATTGTACTGTTTGCATAAAAGCAAACAATACTGTACCAGGTATTACCAGTATTTCGACAGGGGGTCAAGTGCCAAAAAGTATAATAAAAAAAATGCAGGTACTGAAGTCTTAGTTATTATTATAAAAAATACAGTAAACAATGACTTGTGTTACCACCCACCCTCGCTGCCAGCCGCCTCCTCCTCCCTCTGTTTCCTCCCTATTGGTGTGATAAGACTCGTCACTCGTACAGGCCGGAACATGACACGCCATGTGCCACCAGCCTCCTTGTCCTCCCTCCTATCTGTTTTGTTTATTTTTCTCTCACTGGCCCTCACTCACTCCTTCCTTTCTGCCAGTTGGAAAATAAAAAAAGGTTGAAGTGTTATTACATAGCATTCCTATGACATTTTTATAGAAACATGGACTCCCATTAGCTAAGAAACCAGAAAATAATGAGTCGCTATGAGCGAGAGGCTACGATTGGAGGCCGTGGGCGCTTGTGGCCTTCTCCCCCTCAGTCCACCTTGAGGCACAGATCACGTACTGTAGAGGCACTTTAACCTGCACTAATATGGCTCTCAGCCTTACAAATATTGTGCTACTCTATTTTGGGGGGACGGTGCTTGGCCCCTTGTCGCACTCAGCATCTCATATATTCAGTGACTTTGAGGTTCAACACATACTGTACTCAAGAGAAATTTGAACACACCTAATGTTGATAATTAATTAGTTGAACCTTCAGTACAGTATACTATATAATATCTCCCCTTTTTAAGACCTTATAGTTAAGTTGTTTTAGGGAAAAAAATCAATAGTTTCTGAACATTGGTAAGCATGAGACGAGAATACTGTTACTTAAAATGTAAAAATTCATATTGCTTGCAATTTTTTCCTTGACCAAAATTTATTTGTCCCCCTTTTTTTTATAAAAATATTTTTGCAATCCCAGTAATGGGGAGCCGTGTTTCCTTCATTGTGATAATTCTTTCTTCTAGCTGTACCAAACATTATAGGCCAATAATAAATTGATGAGGTCAATCTAGTTTTTTTGTCCTCTTTTATAATGAGCATTTTAGGGGATCATCAACAAACCCAAAAGTATGTACAGTTGGGGGTCAGGAATTCGTGATAGTCGGGTCAGAGGGTGAGCAGGCCATTCCACCCTTAATTGACGGCGAATCGCTGTGCTGATCCTCCTCACCAACACACAATGTGAAAATGGTAATGATGCAGATTGTTTCAGTCAAGACTGGACTCAGGAGATGGGAAGAAAGATATTTATTAATATGAGCTGACGACACTACTAATGAATGATGAGTGATGCTAATAATCATGTTTACTAAATGAAGTAAGCCATATACGTAATATATAATGTTTCTCCATTTACCTGTACAATATATCTCAGAATATAATGGGGAAGTCAGATGTGTAACAACATAAGCCAGTGGTCACATATGATCAAGCTACAGTAAGTGAAGGGTCACATAGACATAAAAATAGCACCAGAGCCTTAAAGGGTATTTATGTTGAATACACTTACAAAAATCGGTCCATCATTGAAGTACTGTACAGGTATTCCATATCATAGACTTCATGCTACGAATTAATTGTAAATATTGGCAGTGGATATTATGCCACTGTAAAAAGGAATCTTCATCGGAGATATAATATATAACATCGTCAATGATTTCCAAAATTATGGAGACTATTATGCCAAGCTTAATAAGTGGATAGTAATTATTTAATATGGGATGAATAATGGAACACTGAACACTATCATTCTAGTTAGGTCTTTCCCCATGTTATTATTTTAAGACTGATCTAAATGTTTGCACAAAATACAAAAATAGCACAGACTAGTTTCTTTATGCAGTACTACAGTATAGTCTCGGTTTACGCGGTCAATTAAACCCATGGAGGTCCGCCTAAACGAAATAACAGAACCCTTTTTCCGACACAATACGTACGTTGTAGTAAAAATAACATCTTAATTTTATGATGGTATGCACACACAACTAATATTTAAGAGAAATATCAATAATATTAGGTTCTTTAACACTTACGTTAGTAGAAGAGATGGCTGGGCACACAGGGAAGGGGGGGTTGGTTCCAAGGCAGAGGGCAGATTATTGGCCCTCACCTGTATCACTATCCACCACAGGCTAGCAGGGCCTCTTTGTCAAACCCCTCAAAGTCCATATCCTCACTAACACTGACTTGGGCTGGCTGTGGTGGGTGGCGGGTGAAGAACTCGGTAATGTTTTGTTGACTGGGCAAGCAAGGTTAAATAGACCAATCACAGCTAGCGGCGGAGGGAATGCGTGGGTGGTAAGGATGCATGGCCCAATCACAGTCCGATACGTCATCTGACGTCAGCGGTGACGTAAGAGCGACCTAGCACGCAGCTTGTCCGCGCTACTTCCCGCATAAATGCTGGAATGTATTGCGTAACTAATAATCGCCGCGTCTGGACAGGTGCTTCGTAAATGACCAACGGCGTATAAGAAATCAGCGTAAACCGAGACTATACTGTATTTGGGTAAAAGGAAACCTGTAACAATTTTTATAGCATTATACAGTATAGTATGGCATTAGTGTTTACTCTGAAATTATATAATTGCAGTTGTCAGGTAACATCACGGCTGTGGATACCTAATCTGAGCAAAATGTTAACAACACGTTAACTGCTTTGACCACCCTCGTATATTTGTTCAAACCATTCACCAATATGGCCAGGGCAACCCATTTTTATTTTATTTCTACCTGACTGCGGGATATTTTGGGTTGTCAATTTTGACATCGTTGCTGTACTCCTTACATGTTTCCTTGACTTTCTCTTGTCTGTACGTAATATATTTAGTTTCTTACAGTCAAATCTATTCTCGTACAGTAATTCATTCACTAACTAAAATCGGCAGTAATGCAGTGACCTCTGTTCTGCATGTATATTGTTGCTACATGACCAGCAAGTTTGTTAGTGTGGCTTAGCTGACAAACATAGACAGGTAGAGAGAGAGAGATAGATTCCACATAGCCACTCGTGTCAACCTACCAAACCATACACATGAACATGGCCGCATTTGACTGTGTGTGTGTGGGTGTGGGGGCATGAGGGGCAGCCATTCATTACCTGAAACCTCTACTGTTAGAAGTTTGTAAGTCTGGATATCTCACAATGACAATGTACTGTATATACATCTCACGTTAACCCAAACAGAAGTGTTCCTCACAATAGTTGTTAGATCATTCAAGTAATATGGTGGAGAGGTTCGGCACCCTGTCAAGTAAGGTTGGAATAGCCTGCTCACTCTGGCCCAACTGCATCACAAATTCCTGACACCAACTGTACATACAACTGGAACAACCTGATAACCTTATGGCAGGATTCTGTAATTTTATCTTGATGGTTGTGATATAAGAATGAATCATTTTGAAAAGTAGACCATCATTAACCTTCATATTGGATTCCTAATATAAAGGACACTGGACATGCAGGTGCTCAAAAGGTTACGAGCTGTTGCTGGCAAACGCAAACATATAATTATGTCCCCAATTGTTTTTGTTAGTTACATAATGATGTCACAGCATCAACACTGCAATTCTTGGCTCTGGAGCGCTTGGTAAGATGACATTGATGTTAGCAGCTCGTTTTTAATTTTGTATGTGAACATTTATATCAGGTTTTGGTGAAACCTGCATAGTTCTAAGTGTCTGCATTAGTGTGAACTATTTCTATACCACATCCTCCTTAGTGGCCAAATCGACCTGCTGTTTATATGAGGAAGCGTGTTATGCACCACACCTTATTAAGGCATCAATTATTTCAAAACCTAAAATGTGGAAAAATGTTACACTCTTGTTTTACTTATGCATTGGCTGATTCTCAGGATATGACCCATTTATAAACCGTTCTCCAGCAACTTGCAAGAGCAAGTGGGGATCCTGGGGGTCCTGACTCTTCCCCCCCCCCTTTTTTTCTACAAAAATTTCCATTATTTTTTCTTTAATGGATTGTTGTACTCAGGCATTTTTGTATAGTAAAAGGTAATTGCTATTGACTTCAGAAAATATCTTAATATCAAGTGCACATGGCTTCAAAATGGCCTCAAAATGCCCAAAATATTGGTCAGATTAAAAAAAAAGAATCTGGGGGGTTACAGCGCTTCTCTCCCCCCCCCAAAAAAAAACAGCTGGGTGGGCTCGCTGTGCTTGCCATGTTCCCCCATCCACAACTTCTTGAACATGCCCTTTTTCATATTCCTGGTTATCTATGCTAGGCAAGACCTTGAGCCAGCCAGGTTTGGGTACAGGGAGAGGATGTTTTAAAGAGTCCAAGTGGTGTAAAATTGAATAAAATTGGAAATAATTACTTATTGTTGGGTGTATCTACATGTCCCCAAACTGTAGCTTATTAAACCAAAGGAACTTAAGAGCTTTAATAGACAGTGCTCGACCCTAGCCACTTCCTTGTCATGGGGACTTTAACCCTGATGACATCGACTGGAGAAATGAAACAACCACCAAATGACTTGAATAACCCTGCTACTCTTTTTGTAAAAACTCTGAAAGATAATTTTCTGTTCCAACATGTTAGAGACCCGACACATTACAGATGGGAGCAAACACCTAAGCCACTGTGTAAGAGCGCGGGTTGCTACTACTTACCGCGGAACCACTGAGGCCACCGACTGTAAGAGCGAGCAACACAAGCTGCCACCCTGCAAGGACTTGGCACTCCTACAACTTACGTTGATACTCTGACCTGGTAGCGTGACGTGAGAGGAAGGCCCATGGGTTCATGTAACTATAGTATCGAGTATTAGGGAAAGAACAACGGTGAATACTATAGGTGAATCATAGACCCACATACAAATACACTGTTTATTGAGACAAAAATGGTTACAGAAAAGATGCTGTATGCACCCAAAATAGGAACTCCTGGTACCATGCCCTCAAGCTCAATTTACTTGCACCACTACTGGGTGTACACACACCAAAACACACATAACTCTCACAGCACCTTAGCACCATTAAAGCCAGTGGCACCTGCCAGTACAACACTCAATACCCCAGGGGCAATACTCCAGCGGCCGCCATGGGAATCTCATCACCAAGTACAGGTAGTTCTGCTATAACGCGATAATTGTGTTCTTGTAAAATATCGTGTTATAGAAAATCGCGTAATAGAAATAACAGGGCTTATGGAGAAAATAGGGTTAGGTGCAGATTACTCGAAATCGAAAAGATTTAGTAGTTAGCCTAACACAAAGGATAGCATGGTCTAAATAAATGTTACATTCATATCTAATAATGAAATCATACAGTAAATGTAACACTTTACTTGATGGGGGAGAAGGGTGATTTTGAGGTTGATAAAATCGAGCTTCTCTTCTAGTGTTATATCCTTTCTTTTACGATCATCACCAGGAATTTTATCACCGGAACGCTTCTTGTTGATATTCTTCTTTACTATATTCACAAAATTGGAGAAATAGTAAGCAAAAATCGCGTTATAGCAAACAAGCGTTCGCGTTATACAAATATCGTTCCTAATTCATAAATCGCGTTAGAGCAAATTCGCGTTATCAAAACACGCGTTATAGCAGAAATCACTGTACACTTTCCAACACTCCGATAATTCCGGTGGACTAACACCACCACACAAATAGCCTTACAGAGCTATGTACTGTACTCATCCACCAATGATGGGGCTGGCAGTGGTTTGTGGGCTTGACGATCCGGGTTCACCACGGGGCATGACGTCAGGGGGAATACTGGCCAGCTATGGGCCCCATAGGTGGTAGTGGAGCTTCTGACGGTCGGGGTTCACGGGATACCCAATTCTACTGGACCTCAGACATCTCCCCAGACCAGTGGATGCGTCATCCACGCTACAGACACGGCCTAGGCTGCGATAGGGACCTGTGGGTGGAGGAGCATGGCGCTGACTCACAGTTCATAACGAACCTCAACGTTTCAAAGGGACATTAACAAACAAACAAACAAACTATTAGTTAGGTCAAATCACTTAAAAATGG